GCTGCCCCAATAAAAAGTGACATCCTTCTCCCACCTTTGCATCTGAGCTAATTTTCAGACCCTGAACTCATTAATTAAGAAAAGGTCTGGTATTGTATGCAACTGATGAATGACTGAATTCTACCTCTGAAATTAATAGTACAGTACATATTAATTAAATTGAATTTAAATAAAAAACTTAAAAATAAATAAGCAAATGGTCCGCTAACCAAAAGAAGGACCCTGCAACACTGTGTAGGACCGTGTAGCCATCCTGGGTGGCTCAATTGGTTAAGTGTCCCCCTCTTTTTTATTTTTATTTATTTTTTTTTATTTTTTAAGATTCTATTTATTTATTTGACAGACAAGGATCACAAGTAAGCAGAGAGGCAGGCAGAGAGAGAGGAAGGGAAGCAGGCTCCCCGCTGAGCAGAGAACCCGATGCGGGGCTCGATCCCAGGACCCCGGGATGATGACCTGAGCCGAAGGCAGAGGCTTTAACCCACTGAGCCACCCAGGCGCCCCTCTTTTTTTATTTTTAAGATTTATTCATTTATTGAGAGAGAGGCAGAGGGAGAAGCAGGGCACCCAATGCAGGGCTCAATCCCAACCAAAACCCTGAGACAATGATGAGAGCCAAAGGCAGGCGCCCAACCCACTGAGCCATCCAGGCAGTTGGGCTCTATGCCGGGCATGGAGCCTACTTTTTAAAAAAAGGGAGGGGGGCACCTGAGCGGTTCAATTGGTTAAGCAACTGCCTTTGGCTCAGGTCATAATCCTGGAGTCCCGGGATTGAATACCACATTGGGCTTCCTGCTCAGAGTCTGCTTCTCCCTCTGACCTCTCCCATCTCACGCTCTCTCTCATTCTCTAAAATAAATAAATAAAATCTTTAAAAAAAAATTTCCATCTAACCTTAAAAACAAAACAGAAAAACCATGGTAAACATACACAGTAATGGTTTCCCCAGACCTTCTCTCAATGTTCACATACACGCACGTATTACCACATTCTTTTTTTTTCCCCCCTAAGGTTTATTTTTAAGTAATTTCTCCACCCACTGTAGGGCTGGAACTCACAACCTTGGGATCCAGAGTTGTACGCTCCACCAATTGAGCCAGCTAGGTGCTCCAGTAGGAATAATTTTTATAGTGGGAAAAAAAATTCTATTTCCACAAAACTGTTAAAAACCCATTATGAGGGATGCCTGGGTGGCTCAGTCGGCTAAGCCTCCACCTTCAGTTCAGGGCATGATCCTGGGGTCCTGGGACCTAGTCCCACATTGGGATCCCTGCTTAGCAGGGAGTCTGCTTCTCTCTCTACCTGCCACTCCCTCTGCTTGTGCTCTCTGACAAATAAATAAATAAAATCTTTTAAAAAAATCATTATGATAAGGGGTGCCTGGGTGGCTCAGTGGGTTAGGCCTCTGCCTTCAGCTCAGGTCATGATCCCAGGGTCCTGGGATCGAGCCCCGCATCGGGCTCTCTGCTCCGCAGGGAGCCTGCCTCCACCTCTCTCTCTGCCTGCCTCTCTGCCTGCTTGTGATCTCTGTCTGTTACATAAATAAAATCTTTAAAAAAATAAAATAAAATAAAAAAATTATGATAAAAAATTCATACTCAATGTAAAAAGCTCAAAAGCATCAAAGTGTAAAAATTAAAAAATAAAAATCTCCTATCTCAACCCTCTTCCTACAGTTCCTCCCTAGACAATTATAGCTGGCATTTACTGAGTGCTTACTCTTTGCCAGGAAGTACTCTAAGCACTTTTTCAACATATGTTAACTAATCTAAACCTTATTACAACCCAAAGAGACAGATATAATCATTATCCTCACTTTACTAAGGGTTGGGTTCTCTGGGAAGCCAACTCAAGAGGAAATTTAGAGTATAATATGTTTATTCATTCAATCTAGACACTGCTTACTCTCGGGGCACCAGGGTGGCTCAGCGTCTGCCTTTGGCTCAGGTCATGATCCCAGGGTCCTGGGATTGAGTCCTGCATCAGGCTCCCTGTTCAATAGGGAGTTTGCTTCTCCCTCTCCCCCTGACCCTCCTCTTGACTCTGCTCGTGCACACTTGTGCGCACACTCTAATAAATAAAATCTTAAAGGGGCGCCTGGGTGGCTCAGTGGGTTAAACCCTCTGCCTTCGGCTCAAGTCATGATCCCAGGGTCCTGGGATCAAGCCCCGCATCGGGCTCTCTGCTCAGCGGGGAGCCTGCTTCCCCCTCTCTTTCTCTGCCTACCTCTCTGCCTACTTGTGATCTGTCAAATAAATAAATAAATCTTAAAAAAAAAAAATCTTAAAAAAAAAAAAGACAGGGGCACCTGGGTGGCTCAGAGGGTTAAGCCTCCTGCCTTCGGCTCAGGTCATGATCCCAGGGTCCTGGGATTGAGCCCTGCATTGGGCTCTCTGCTCAGCAGGGAGCCTGCTTCTCCCTCTCTCTGCCTACTTGTGATTTCTGTCAAATAAATAAATAAAATCTAAAAAAAAAAGACACTGTTTACTCTCAATATGGACTAACTTCAGTATATGAATCATTTGATGACTCCTTGAAGAAAGAGCAAAATCAATAGATTTCAATCAAATAAAGAACATACTTTTTTGGTTTTATTTATTTAAGTAACTTCTACACTCAACATGGGTCTCAAACTCACAACCCCAAGATCAAGAGTTGCACACTCTCCCAACTGAGCCAGCCAGGTGCCCTAAAGCCTATCTTTCTTAATTGCAGTCATAGGTCACTGACAATATTACAGTCTTTTAACATGGAGCTTGAACTCACAACCCTGAGATCAAGAGTCAGAGGCTTAACCAACTGAGCCACACAGGTGCCCCTACTATGGTCTTTTAAGTTTTGGGTTTTTTAAAAAGATTTATTTATTTATTTATTTATTTGACAGGAAGAGATCACAAGTAGGCAGAGAGGCAGGCAGAGAGAGAGAGAGGTGGAAGCAGGCTCCCTGCTGAGCAGAGAGCCCGATGCGGGGCTCAATCCCAGGACCCTGGGATCATGACCTGAGCCGAAGGCAGAGGTTTTAGCCCACTGAGCCACCCAGGTGCCCCTTAAGTTTTTTTTAGAGAGAGAGCACATGTTCGAGAGTGGGCAAGGGGGAAGGGAGGTGGGGAGAAGGAGAGGGAGAGAATCTTAAGCAGTCTCCACCATTAGCGTGGAGTCCCAACACAGGGCTCTCACAACCCTGATATTATGACCTGAGCTGAAATCAAGAGTCGTTATTTAACCAACTGAACCACCCAGGTGACCCTTGGTCTTTTTCTATTAACACATTTAAAGAGGGTCCTCACAGAAAGGCATCAAACTTCAGGGTGGCTAGAAATAGGGAAACCGGCTTGGTCATTTGAGTCATTCTTGCCATGGGGTCAGTTCCAAGAATATGTTGGAGGAGAGAGGTCAAGGGGTTATATCTTAGGAAAAATCTTTTGGAGTAAAAAGGGAATTGGGCCTTAATTTTCTCTAAATCCTGAATGCATTTTCATGCGGCAGCAAATTGGATATCTAGATATGTGTTTAGTTCCAGGGATTCCTCTACGTCTGATATATTCTTTTATTACTATTCTAAGGCATACACACTTATGATACTATAACTTACTGGAGAAAATAAAATTTAGACAGGAAAGGGGAAAAGAAAAAGGGAGCCAGAGAGAAAAAACTTATCAGCTTGCCTGTATCCAGTAATGCCCAGGGAAGACTGGGATCTAACTCCCAAGTTCACTGCAGAACAAAGAATTAATGACTCCCCAAAAGTTTTGAGAACATTTTCAAATTATTATTGCTAATGTTCCCTACCTTATATTCCAAATCCCACAAAGAAATCACCTCCGAAATTGCCCTTTATTTTTTAAAGTAATTTCTATGCCCAACATGGGGCTCAAACTCATGACCCCAAAGTCAAGAATCATATCCTCTACAGACTGAGCTAGCCAGGTGCCCCTGAGGTTGCTCTTTTAATTAACTGACCTCAACAAGCTAAAAACTGAACTTTTTTCCTTCATACACCAGTTTCCCAAACCTCCTCTACACTTGTGTTTCTCATATTGATGAAGGGCCCACTCACCATCAGCTTCCTAAGCCAAGATCTAAGAGATCACTTGTGCTTGGGACCTCGCCTTACACTCTCTCCCAAATAATATTCAGGTCCTGGTAATTCTACCTTCCAAATTATGCAGAATCCATCCACTTCTCCTCATTTGCATTGCCTCTTCTTTGGTTTGGGGCACCATCATCGCCTGCCGTAATGACACCAACAGCTTAAGTGGCCTCATTGCCCTTGGTCTCCCTTCCTTCTAATTCATTCGCCACACTGCACCCAGAGTAATCTTTTTAAAACACAAAGCTAATAACGTCGTTCTTCAGTTTAAAGTCTTTCAATACTGAGGTTCAAACTTCTGAATATAACTTATTAGGCACTGAAGGATGTGGCCCCTGAGTCCCTCCACACACACCATATTCCCTGTTCCATAATGAACTTTCAGTTCCCTGAACCCAATTTTTTCAATTATCTACGGGCCTTTGCCCATGCGGTTCTCTGCTTGGGACAACCTTCCTTCTGTTCTTCTTTTGGGTAACTCGGATGCATCCTCCACGTTCCAGCTCAGGTGTCACGGGCACAGCCCAGGTAGGCAGGCTTTTCCCTGACTGGTGCCCTCTGCGTGGTCCAGCCGACTTGTGTCTTCCACGCGAGCAAGCCCCTGACGGCGCACTTGACACTCCATCAGTGCAGGCCAGTTGTAAGGCTTGTCAGAGCAGACCCAGATGATTGCAGCGCCAGTTCACTACAGGTACGTAGCACACCAAGTTCCGGCCCCGCACAGGAGACACACCCAAAGCTTCCAGAGGCCCGAGCAGAGTACAGGACCGCTGTCGACTGTCCGGAACCCAACCCTGTACGGGGGCCCACCTCCCACGCTGCGTCGGGGGTGGGGCAGGGCGGGGCACCGGGCGCCGGCGAACGGCGTGCGACGAGCGGGGGGCGGGGCCAGGGGCGGAGCGGAGCGCGCATGCGCGGTCGCCTTTGTGTGGGTCGAGCGGCGGCGGCGGCGGCGGCAGTGGCGGTCCCACTGGCAGGCGGGCAAGAGGGGAGTCCGGGCGGCGTCCGGCGTGGGAGCCGGGGGACCACCATGGTAAAGAAGCGGAAAGGCCGCGTCGTGATCGACTCGGACACGGAGGACAGCGGCAGCGATGAGAACCTGGATCAGGTGAGGGCAGGCCGCGGAGGCGCGGGCCGGCGGAGCGGGAGGGCTGAGTCCGGGCCACGGGAGCCTGGAGCCGGCCGGGCCCGGGGCCTCCCGGCCGGAGCTCCCGGCCCGCCCCGTACCCTGATCTCTGCTGCCACCTCTTTCTTGTCCTCTCCGCAGCACCAGGGGCCCTCAGAGTCCGGCCGGGGCCTGGAGACGGAACCCCGAGGACTTGGCGCCTTGGGCGGGGAGGCGGGGCAGGGACCAGGCTGGTGGGCCTCGGGCTCGGGGGACCAGAGGGGTCCGTGATCTGCCGGGGTCAGATCGGGGCGGCGGGCTGCAGGCCCGGCGATCCGGGCCCGGAGAGATAGGAAGTATCGCCCGCCAACCCGGGAGGCTGGGAGATTTTGGAGGAGGTGCAAGGGTGAGTGTGGGGGTGGTGGGGGCGGGGGGCGAGATGGTGCGGGCTCTGGAAGATGAAGTTTTTCAGACTAGAGGTGTGGACCTGGAGGAGAGACACCCTTAAACGTTCCGGGGAACTTGTGCCGTGCTTGATGAGGAAGACTTAGCTGTGGACACAAATCTGTTTGGCAACTAGGGTCGTTTGTGGTTGAGAAGGGTCCCCGTTGAGGTGTCAGACCAAAGAAAACTCTTGGGAGAAGGAAAGAGGCCAAAAGTGGAGAAATATATAGGAGAACTTGGAAGGGCTATGACTGAGGCTTCTTGGCTCTTTTCATGCAGCATCCCAGAATTCTTTCTTACTTGAAGATTGTGCAGGATTGAAAGTAACTTTTGGTCTCACTGTCTTGGGGTTGAATTGTTTTTATGCTCTAGAAAATATTGTAGGGAGGAAGCTGTCTTTTACAGCAGTGCTCTAGTGATACTAGAAGATTGAAAGAGAGTCCCCCCCCTCCATGTTTTGTGAACAAATGATACAAAGAGTATGTAAGAGGTAGTAGCTTTATAAGTTAAGAAGAGAGAGTACTGGGATGCCTGGGTGGCTCAGTTGGTTGGACAACTGCCTTCGGCCCAGGTCATGATCCCGGAGTCCCAGGATCGAGTCCCGCATCGGGCTCCCAGCTCCACGGGGAGTCTGCTTCTCTCTCTGCCCTTCTCCTCACTCATGCTCTCTCTCACTGTCTCTCTCTCAAATAAATAAATAAAATCTTTAAAAAAAAAAAAAGAAGAGAGAGTACTGAATTTAGAATCTGAAATTTTGAGTTCTAGGCTGGCTGTGCTATTTTCTAGCTATGTATCTTTTGTCTGTAACTGTAAACTCTAGATACAGTATTAGCCTTGAGTATCTAATTGGGCTATTAAAAGGATCAAGTATTTGTAAGAATTAATATTGGTATGAACACTTGCAAACTAAGACTTTTGTATAAATGGCTTCTTGGGGGTTCTTTGTATAAGGCCACAGGTCTCAGGACTAAAGTATTAGGGCGTGAAATGGGTGGACTTTAAGAAGAAGGGCCTGGAAATATGTTTAAGAAAAGAGGACTGTTTTGAAAATGGTATGAGGTGGGAAAGTAGTGGGGTTTCATCAAAGGGAGAAAACCTTGTTTGGGGATAGGAATTGAAAGGTAAGTTGAAAATGTTCTCACTGAAAGGCTCCTGAAATTTATGAAAGGCTCCTGAAATTTACAAAAATATAAAAAATATATTCTTGGCTGGAAAAGTTTGATAATTTTAGATTGGCACTTATGAGGATTAGAACTTTTTCTTCTTTTTTTAATTTAGAAATGTGGGTATTTCCAGTAAAAACACCAGCTACCATTTACGTAGTGCTTGGGGTGAACTAGTCAAGTTTTATATTATATTATATTGTCAAGTTTTCAGATTATGGTGAACTTTGTGTCATTTTCTCCATTTTACATATGAGGAAGATGGAGGTTGAAGAAGAAACTTACCTAGATTCACACAACTTGTTACTGGTAGAGTTAGAATTTGAACTCCAAATCTTCACGATAGTAAGGCACATACTCTTCACTATACCAACTCAATTTCTTAGTCTTTTAATTTTTCAGAGTGCAAAATGAGAATGATGTTTTGTGGTCATTTTCCTTGTTGCTAGAATTCATGTTTGTAAAGTACATTCAGTAGTGTAGAGGAAATTGTTATAACAATTAAAAAGATTATTTGGGAGCTTCCTTGGTAAAGCACTCTAAGACATCTGTTCTGATGGTGAATGAACTAAGCTGCAAATTACTCTGTCTGTAATGATTGCCCACAGAATTCTAACAAATGAAATGAGTTCAGAGCTCCCTTTTGTGGTAGAGAGGTTTTACCTGATCCACAGAGAGCTAGCTCTTCCAAAGTGGACACTGGGATTGCAACTTTAAACCCTGCTCTTATCTGTTTATAAAAAGAAATTAGCATAAAATTTGTAAGTAATACCTAATAGAATTTAACAGCAATTTCAACTTTCTTCCTTTCAGCCACGGTTAGGTGGCATTCTTTTATCAGATGGGAACCAGATCAAAACTCCCTTTCCCTGCACATCCTAACAGAGGCGCCTGTGCCTTCTGTCTTTTCAGCAATGCACCAGCCTCTCAGAGGAGTGAAAAACAAAGATCTCTGCCCTCTAGAAGTTTTCACCAAAGACCTTTAGGAGAAAATCAAAGTCAGGCTGGTTTGGGGGTCTTTGGAATCCTCAGAATAAAATCAATGCATCTGGGCCTTTCTAACCAAGCAACCTTGGGCTGCTCCATCTAGTTCTAGGTCTTCATTGTGGGTATAACATCATATTTGCTGTCTACTGTAAGGTCCTTGTGGAAAAGATAAAACCATAAGAAATCTGAGTGTCTAGTGTAAGAGTGTAGCAGTTAGAAAGGAGGTCCTTGTTCCCAGGTTTTCCAGATGGGAGTAAAAGTCATTATGTTAGAAATATTATTTCCAACTTAGTCCTTGCTGAAGGTAAGGCAGGTGAACCTACTATGCTGATTTTTCCTGGTGGTGGGAGGAGGACCGTCTGTGTCAGAAGCTGCCTGGGTTGCTTGTTTAAAATGTACTTTGCAGGGGCTCCCATCCCAGACCTACTGAATCAGACCCTCAGGGGATAGAGCCCTGGGCTCTGCATTTTTACCAGATACAGCCCAGGTACTCATTTATATTAACGACTGAGACTACTGTCTGTGTGCAAGCTAATCTTTTTGGTAAGACACTCTGTGTGGTTTGGGAGAGAAATAGCCTTCTGTCCTGTCTGTACTGTGTGCACAGGAAGAAAACTGGACAAAGATGTTTGAGGTAGCAAAGTTCTTGGCTATTCTAAATCTCGAAGCTGTTTGAATTGTTGGGATGCTTTTTATTGAGACCTATTTCCTTTTTTCCTTTCATGATTTGAAGAGAGGTGTGTAGGAACTGAATTGGAGTAGTTTAAATTGTTTTAACTTTGAAAGATTTTAAAAACTCAGACCTTTGAGAATTTGAAGGATTTCTTTTTACATGTGACCTCTTAGTGACCTTATTTTTTATGTTGGGCATACCCTTCAACATTTTTTTAAAGGATTTCTTTATTTTAGAGAGCTAGCAGGAGGGGCAGAGGCAGAGGGAGAGAGCATCTTTTTTTTTTTTTTTTAAGATTTTATTTATTTATTTGACAGACAGAGATCACAAGTAGGCAGAGAGGCAGGCAGAGAGAGAGGAGGAAGCAGGCTCCCTGCCGAGCAGAGAGTCTGACATGGGACTCGATCCCAGGACTCTGAGATCATGACCCGAGCCGAAGGCAGAGGCTTTAACCCACTGAGCCACCCAGGCGCCCCGGGAGAGAGCATCTTAAGCAGATTCTGCACTCAGCATGGAGCTGGATGCAGGGCTCAATCGCACGGCCCTGAGATCACAACCTGAGCCAAAACCAAGAGTCAGATGCTTAACTGACTGCACCACCACCCCAGGTGCCCCATCTTGAACATTTTAAAATTGCAAATCCTCAAGATACTTGCTTTTGGTGCCTCTTGGAAAAGAGTTTGAGGCAAACCTAAGGTTTTGTTGTTTTTGTTTTTGTTTTTGTTTTTTACCCTGTCATGTACTTCCATGGGTATAATGGATGTGAGTCATTACGAATAATATTTATGCAGTGGGTCTTATAAAATGAAAAGCATCCAAGATAATAAAGGAATAGCATTCTCTGTTCAGATCAATACAACTCAGTATTTAAGAAAACTTTACTCTGCCTTAAGAAAAAAAATTGGGCTACTTGCGTACTGGAATGCTTTATTTCATAATATCCTCTCTTATTTAAAATGGTGATGTTGTCATGTCCTCTTTTTCTCTGCTTATATACTTGAAGTAGCAATAATTAAATTTGTCTTTGAAAGAACAGGTCCGGGGCACCTCGGTGGCTCAGTGGATTAAGCCTCTGCCTTCGGCTCAGGTTATGATCTCAGCATCCTGGGATCGAGTCCTGCATTGGGCTCTCTGCTCAGCAGAGAGCCTGTTTCCTGCCCCCTCCTCTGCCTGCCTCTCTGCCTACTTGTGATTTCTCTCTCTGTGTGTCAAATAAATAAATAAAATCTTAAAAAAAAAGAAAGAAAGAAAGAAAGAAAAGGCCCCTAAGTATTTTCTAGCAGTTATTTTTACATATTATATGTAAAAAAAAAAAATACCATTGTTTCAAAGTATCCTTCCGTAAACGTTCCCTATAAAAGTTGGGAAGTTTTTTTTTTTTTTAAAGATTCTATTTATTTGAGAGAGAGAGGAAGAGAGACCACAAGCCAGGGGAGAGGCAGAGGGAGAAGCAGACTCCCCGCTGAGCAGGGATCCCAACACAGGACTCATCCCAGGACCCTGACCTGAAGGCAGATGCTTAACTGACTGAAGCCATGCAGCCAGTTTAAATTGGGAAATTTAAAAGTTGTGCCTCTTTTGTAGTCTTTTTTTTTTTTTTAAGATTTTATTTATTTGTGAGAGAGAGGACTGGGAGAGAGAGAGGGAGAACATGAGAGGTGTCGGAGCTGGATGTGGGACTCATCCCAGGACTCCAGGATCCTGACCTGAGCTGAAGGCAGTGGCTTAACTGACGG